AACAGGGTCAGCGTTAGTGGAGGGAGGCCGAGCATGCCCTGGGAGCACAGGCGAGGGGTGGCGTCTGCAGAACACCTGGCCAGCACCGACACTCCAGCCCTCTCTGTCCCTGGCCTCAAGGAGCCCAACAGCTCCTCAGGAACCATCTGCACTGCCCCAGGTCTAGAATGAGCTGAGTCCTTACTCAGCAATACAGTGTGGAAGTGATCAATCCTAACTAGAAGGCTTCATGGTAGAGGTGGCATTTGCATTGATTCATAAAAGTCGTAGGTTACTGAAAACAGTTTTTACCAATTACACCAAAAATGTTACTACAGTTTAAATTATAGAAGCAGCATAAACTATACTTTTTAAAATGTGCATTAGAAACGCTTTTATACCCACCCACACTATCCTTCTCAAGAACGAGCACTACAACACATTAGTGACGTATTAGATTTTTGTGGGAGGAAATGGGAGAGATGTTCTAGGTAGAGAAGCCTGCAAGAATAATGGTGTAAAGGCTGACGGCGGGGCTGGGGTACGGGGGATGGCCTGATCTGGGCAAGTGTGTGCTGCCCAGATTCTGGAGGGAAGCAGGCAGACCCCGAACACCACACTCAGGAGTTTGTTTCACTCGAGTCTACACCATGGTTGCCAATAGCATGCAAGACAGACAGAGGAAAGGGGCCGAGTTGGAGGCTGTTCTAATAGGACAAGGGGAGAGAAGATGAGGGTCTCTTCCAGGCTCCTGTTGCCTGGGAGGGAAAAGATGCTTCACAGGGAGAACTGAGGGGCTGAGGAGGCGCGCAGCTGAGCCAGGGGCCGGCTGCAGCGATCAGTGACCAAGTCACATCAACCACTGGGACAATCCATTTAGCAGGGCGGGGCAGGCAGCGGGAAGGTCTGTGGGGCAAGTTGAGTTCTCTACTCTGAGGTTGTGGGACCACTGCAGCAGTCTTGGGCAGACGGCCTCTTTGTCCACCTGTCTGTCCCTTCCTCCTGCCCCCACTCTTTCCTGTCTTGTGATACTGCCTTGTGCACGTCACCACTTGGAGGGGGCAGTGCAGGCCCCAACTCATTTTTATGTATTTGCCCTGCATGAACTAGAAGGCTCACAAATGTGGGTTAAAGCAGCTTAGGCATCACACTTCTTAGCATAATGCAAGTTCTCTGATGCAAATGCAGACATATACTGAAGGTGGCGACAAAGCCTCCTGTCAATGGAAAGGCCACAGGATAACTTCAAGGGTGGTTTCTCGTTTGCCACTGCTCATTCAGCTGCTCTGGTGACACAGGTGTGCAAGAACAACAGTCACCGTCCATTGGTCATGACTATGTGAGGCAGCAGGGAATGGCTGAACAACGTCCAAACACCTCCAATCTCTGTTACCCTTAGAGAGTCAAAGAGCAGGTGTCCCCACTTCCTTGAAGCTTTGTGTTTGTCACAGCCTTCAAGAAAGCTGGGGACACCTTCAAGATGGGAAAATACCACCCAGAATTCAAAGTGATAACTCTTTGAAGAGCCAATGGTGGGAATGAAAAAATGCCTCCTAGCACTTTCGAATGGCTGGTACTGCAGGAAGAACCAGTCCATGATCCTGGAATGGGTACTTGGTCAAGTCTGCACTTACAGAAGCATTTGGAGAATTTTATAGCATCCTTTTCTTTAAAAGATGACGACGACAGAAGAAGTTCAGTGGAATAACATGGTATGTGAATGCAATATACTTTAGACCAAAAAAACCCAACAAAATTCATGTGTGGTAACAGTAACAGTCTCTTCAAGCTCTCAAAATTACCAGACAAAATCAACAAATCTGCAAGCTGGACGGAAGACAAACATCTTCTTTAATACCTAGCTACACCCCTTCTAGACAATTTGCCTCTTACCTAAACAGAGTCACAGTCCTCAAAAACAGGTTAAAAACTGGGTAACAATAAATGATCCAAGAATTAATTAACTAAAAAGGAGACTGAGGTAAACAAAGGAAAAATTATCATATCAAAATAAAAGACAAGAAACATGATTAAATTAGGCTTCAAAAGACCCGTGAGAAACTCATAAAAGGCGTAATATGCACTTACCTGGTTTTTATTCTTTCATGATTTAATTTCTAATTTTATTCACTACCATCTGATAATTGCATGAAACACTTATTCTAACCATGGGCAATTTAAACTATTTTAATTTTTATCTCAAGGCCATGAGACAAAGGAACCTATTTATTGCCTAAGGGGATTTTTTTTTTTTTAACAAAAATTAAAGCTTAATCTTTCATGTTTTAAAGCCAAGACTGTTTAAAATCATTTATAATAAAGCTGTAGGGAGACTTTTCCTGGGTATGCAAAATTGAAATGATAAATTTACAATTATTAAAAAAATTAATAGTTTGGGGGATTGAATTGTCCCTTTGCTTTCTAGATGAATTTGTCTGAAGCTTAAGAGACACGCTTAAAAACGGGGTAAACCCCAGGCCTGTGGAGGAGAGATGGGATGAGGCGTCCCTTCATCTCACGGTGCGAGTGAACTGGCTCATGGTCCAAACGGTATGCCCAGTTTATTATTATTTAAAAAGTAAATAATGGCAATGGCCTTGGGAATGGCTTTCAACCCCTTTTACTTTCTAGGAAATTGCCTTGATGAAGCGGAGATTCATGAATTCTACTAACCACATTTTCTGTGACTTTGAAAAAGTCCCTGATGGAAATTAGACAAATAATTTACTTTCACTTAAACACCAGATTTTTTAGTTACACTTAAGAAAAATAATTGAAATGTAGATTTCAATCACTGCCGCTGCTGCACTTCAGGATTCTAATAAAATACTTTCAGTTATTATGCAAAGCAGTCCTCAGCAGAGAAGAGAAAAATCGCTCTCAGTGACACCTAAGTGAGCGGCGTGTTCTGAAGGGCAGGAAGCCTCTTCCAGAGCAGTTAAGGCAAGGACACGGCGCTGGTGTGGCTTTGACTCCAGCAGGGAGGAAGGCTCATCTCACAACACATGTTCCTTCACTGCGGTCTCAGGAAAAAACTGAGAATAGTCACCTATGTTTAAAATTCCTTTCCCACCAACACCTAGGCCGTCGCCCTAGGCCGTCTGAGTAGCCCACATTTTAAGAAGGTTGCAACAAGCTCACACTCCTCCCAACGTCGGCTGGAACGGACGCGGTCCGCCCTAGAGCCCCCACTCCGCTCTTCCCCGCCCACTGGCTCTGTCCTCTGCCTCAACACACGCCATGGCTTCCATTACGGAACTCAGGTCTCTGCTCAAAGGTCGCCTTCTGAGAGAGGGGTCACCTCCTCCAGTCCCCTGCCCCCTTTTCCAGTCGGATTCTGTCAGGGATCTTTCACTCATTGCTTTGCTTCTTGTCCAAGTCTCTGATGGACTGAAGGGCTCATGGAGGTCGGCAGCGGGTCCGTCCTGCTCACACCACACAGCACTTTCGGGATATGATTTTTGAGTTACATTATCTACACTGATCAGCTGACAGCTGCTTCTGCATTTGACTTCTTAAACTGACAAGCCTCCTTCGGACTGAAGATGCACCACAATGCATTCACAGCACTCCATGCTATTTTGGGGTAATCATAGTGCTCACGGGGGAGAAAAAAATCCCACTTAAGAAAATACATTTTCATCTGATTTATGAAATCTAAGTTGAGAGGGTCGAATTTTCATTTTTTTTTAAAGGACTTATTTTTATAAAGGGGAAATCCATCATGTTAAAAATGTTTATTTCTCAAAAGGGATCATTACAGGATTTACTAAGTTGATGTGTTGCACTGAAGCTATCACTTAATTTCCTGAAATTAAGGGTGATAAAGTTGATTTTTCAGGAATAGTGTTTATTATATAAGATGAGGCCCTCATATAGTAATGGTATGTTTTTGAAGACTCTGTACGCAGTGAACTCAATACACCTGCCACGAGATTTCAGCACATTATGGGGAAATCCACCAGCTTCTCCTAAACATCTCTCAGACTGCTCTCTCAAAACCGTCCTCCGGGTGAAACGTCTTAGATACATAATGTTTTATGCAGAGACGAAGGGCGACTGCTCTGTCGAGAACTGCCAGTTCTAGGAATGTGCCTCATTCCTCCCTCAAGTCAAAAGCCCTAAAACAGGCAGCGTGGAGCGGGCTGTAGCTTTCGATGTGTGTTTCCTGAAAACACACATGCTATTTTTTCATTAAAGTTTTTTCAACACTTAGCTAATCTTTGGGGCACAGCTGATAGAGGGTCACGGGATTTTGAAAGTTAGAAGGAAGCTTGGAGACTGTCCAGGCCGTCTCCTTCATGTAACAGAAAAGGAGGCGAGATCATCTATCAAGGCCTGGAAAACTCAGAGAAGGAAAGTCTGTGAAATATTCGACTTTTTTAAGTTTAAAAAGAAAAAAAAACTCAAATCACGGTATCTAAGCAATCACATTCTATCTGGCTTGTATGAAAAGACAACTGGCGTCTGCTTTTGAATAAGGCAACAAAATTTGTGAAGAAAAAAAGACTTTAAATGACACAGCCCAGAGCCTGACCAGGAATGAGCCAAGATGTTCCTTGCTGGACTGTGGATTTTAAAATCAAGTGTGATGGATGGAGTTGGTGTGAAATGTAAAATGAGAATGATTAGGAATTTTGAAAGAGAATTCTTACATTTTTTTTTTTTTTAAAAAGGACAGGACAAAGAAAGATTAAGAGCTGGAGGCTCTTCATAGTGGTCACAACTTAACTAGTGTTGAATGGACTAGTGTTTAAAACAGAGCGAATGTGAGAGAACGGCTTGCACGGTGGATTCTCTCACTGAAAACTTTTTTTCATATTATCCATGGAAAAGGAAAGACAAATTCGAACTTTGATCATTTTAAAAAATAAAATAACCCAATGACATAATGCGGCCCAGTATAGTTTCCCGGCTCCATCCTGGACACATCTAGCCTCGCCCTTTGCACTGGAGGCACGCAGACCTACCTGCCACTCCTGCTGCATCACCTGCAAGGGAAGAGCACCCCTCTCACTCACCGGGACTCGTGAGGGCTCCCAGGGCGCTGCTCGTGGTAGAGAGAGGGTTTGCATTGGTGCTGGTGGCTGAGGTCTGGGCCGCAGCTGCCGCAGCAGCCAGCGTCGCCAGGTTCTGCAACTGTAAAGCATTCATGCCTGTGGAGAGAAGAGAAAGCTACTTTTAGCAACAGGCCTCACACTTCTACAGTTTCCAAACAAGAGAGGGCTCATCAAATTGTCAGGACACATGATGAGAGCAGACGACCCTGTGCATGGTCACCTGCCTGGGTAGGAGCTGGGCTCTCCAGCCCTCTCCTCCAAGGCTACCTCTCCTTCAGTTCTCTCTGATGCAATTGCTCTTCCTAGAGACCACATACCCAGAAAGGGCTCCTGAATCCCACCCCGCAGTTCTCCCTGGCAGAGCCTGTACTTCTCCCTCACTAACCAGTATTCTCAGCCCACGGCCCTCCTGCCATGCTGTAGAGATAAGTGCAAAAGAGGAGAGATTTCGGTGCTGACTGGCCAGAGTAGGGCCTTGTGGACTGGCAACTTCTATGACATAGCTGCCAAGACATAGTGAGATGTGGCAACAGCTGGAGGAAGGGCTTCAAGGTAAACTCAATCCCTCAAAACGAGGTATTCCAGAAGAAACTACATTTTATTGGAAGCTGAACTGGTATGGGTTCTAAGCCTGTTAATCTATTTCTTGACAGTGAGTGGCAGCATTAACTGAACCCCACCTCAAAGGGTTGTTGTGCAGATTAAGAAAGATGATGAAAGCAAATGACTTTGGCACTATATAAGTGCTCAACAAATGTCACCTTTTATTTTTGTTATTGCTATTGCCACTGAACTTCTCTCTCCGGATTTAAGCATGAACCCTAAAATGTGTCCATAGGGAGCTCAAATTTCATATCTGATGAATAGAATGACTGAATAGAAATGGCTGTACCTTAAAAGTTTTATTTGTAAAATATTTGTATTTACCTTTTAAAGGCATTTATATTTTAAAGAGGGACTTTAAGTAGAATAAATGTGTGACTCATGAAAATGATGAAAAAAATAGAAATGAAAATTAGCATGAACATAAGAGTGGGATTAGCCGAGAGATTTGGGGCAACAATCTAGGGGTAGGCTCAGCCCTGGTTCCTGCACTGGATAGTTAGTTTAACTGTCTTTTCTCCCTGTAGGCCGCTTCCATCTCTCAGTCCAAAGGTTCTCTGAATGGTCAAAGTATTTTTCCGTGATTCACCTCACTGGAAGACTGCACATGTGAGAAGCATGAAACAATGGTTCTGTCCCTGCACAGAGGAAGTGCAGGTAGAAAGATGGTGGACTTCAGCTTAATTTTACCTGCTTCTCCGGTCTTAAGTCCAGATACTTAATCAATATCCACGGAGCAAATTCAGTCTTCTTTAGGGAGAGTGCCCTGACAGCTGCTTCCGTAATGTGTGTGTAGGGGCGTTGGTGGAGGGAAAGAGAATGTTCTAGCAACATATATCTGTAAGCCCCCAGCCATGGGGGCAGCTCAGTGCCTGGCTGCTGAGTGCTCTAGACAGCACCCTTCTGACCCTCTGCCCTGGCCTCCTCAACCAGGGTGCATTTCCACTTAGAAAAAAGTTCCTGCTGTCTTGGTTGCTAAATGGATTCGCATTTTGTCCAAAGTGATACTTTTTCCAGGAGACATCCAGGCCTTTTGGCTTAGGTTGAAAGCCAAGCACCTGCTTTTCAAAACTTACTTATTTCACAGGGATGCTTGAAAGCAGGACAGAAGTATCTGTGTAATCCTGTGAATTTCTGCAAGACAAGGGCAGACTTCCGGCAATCCTGCTTTATCAAGTGAACACAATCGGAAGAAAGCATTCCCTGGTTTTCTCTCATCAAGGGTCACACGGTGCCATATTCATGAGAACGTGGGTGTTGAGAGGCCCTGGTCTCATTTTTCAGTTTTACTTTGGGAAAACGGAGGAAATACGCAAGCTGCCTGGCCCTACTGCAGACCAACATGGTCCCAGCAAGGGGCTCTGTTTCCTACGAACACACAAAAGCATGTTTGACTTGAATGTGAGGGAGCACCAAGGCTGTGCGAGGTCTTGCAAGGAGTCAGGTACGTTCACGCACGTCTATCCGGGCCCTCTGGCTCTCTCACGATGCGTGCTTCCTCTAACGTGAACCACGACCAGACCACACCACCAACATATGGCTGAGCACACAAGAACAGAGCTTAGCACCAAAATCAAAGCCTACAATATGCATCTGGCACCGATTAACGACAGGCAGAGCTCCCACTGTAGGCTGAGGCCAGCGGGTCCCGTTCCAGGACATATATGTCCCTCCCAGGTGGGAGCCTCAATGATGGAGCTGTGTTGATGGCCTGGCTCAGCTGGCCCACTTGGGTCAGAGACATCAGGTCCCTGGCCAAGGCCTCACAGCCAAGGAGGGGACCCTCCTGGGCCTGGGCAGAGCCTTCTGCCCCCATCCTGTAGCCTCCTCCTAAGGAGATATGGTTTACATTTAATGCACATACTTTTTGTTAGCTGCAAGTTTCTTTATATGTTTGTTTATAACTCTTTTGTGGCTCACATCATACCCTACGTTGACATTATTTATATGTATTTCTTGCCCTCCCAACCAGATATCAAGTTCCTTTAGGACAAAAATTTTGTCTTACTCATTTTCAAGTCCATGTAAACACACACGCGCGCGCACACAGTTGAATATATATAGTATGTACGCGCGCACAGTTGAATATATATAGTATGTGATGAGCAAATCTATACAAGACAAACAGGGTAACAGACACTTTGACATTTACATAAATTGCTCTAAAGAGTATTGTCTATATAGAGCTAGCCAAGGTTTTAGTTTTCCCCATTCTTTATTAGTTCGTTGGTATTTTCAACAGCATCAAATATTGGCTGTTTCCTCTCAATCATTAACTAATCCACTGTGCAAATACTTAATAGGGCCCATGTTTAGTCCTTCTCTCACCCACTGACATTCACTAAAGGTCCTGGAACTGAGCCGACAGCACTCAGGTTCTCTCCACTGCCCGCTCCTTTAGGATCCAGGGCTGAGGGCCTGTGTGTCCTCCTCTACATTTCTCCTCCACACACTTTACCACCCAACAGAGTTTCTGACATTCTGCTAAGCTTTCCCTGCTGCTGCCTGGGAAGTCCAGGGCGGGTGGCTGAGTCTCTGAGGCACCACACTGCTCAACAGCCAGACTGCAAGGAAAGGAAAAACTATGGGTCAAGGAATCTTAAGATGAAGAGTGGAAAGGAGGGGACACTGTGATCCCTAGCATCTGAGGGATCTGAGGACCAAAGGAGAGAAGAGTTAGTCAGAACCAATCAAGGAGGAGGATCCATATTTGCTTGTCCATCCATCCATCCATCCATCCATCCATCCATCCATCCATCCATCCATATATCCATCATTCACCCATCCACCCACCCACCCATCCATCCAACTATCCATCCATCCACCTAACTATCCACCCACAGATCCATTATCCTCCCACCCATCCATTGTCCATCTACCCCATCCATCATCCACACACCCATCCATCTCTCATCCACACACCCGTCCATCCCTCATTGTGGGATAGATGCTCCCACCCATCTATCCATCATCTACCCACCATCAATCCATCCATCCATCCACCCACATATCTACCCAACTATCCATCCATCCACCCACCTATCATCCACCCATCCATCCATCATCCATCCATTATCCATCCACCATCCATCCATCCACCCACATATCTACCCAACTATCCATCCATCCACCCACCTATCATCCACCCATCCATCCATCATCCATCCACCATCCATCCATCCACCCACATATCTACCCAACTATCCATCCATCCACACACCTATCATCCACCCATCCATCCATTATTCTCCCACCCATCCATCCATCATCCATCCACCCACCCACATATCTACCCAACTATCCATCCATCCTCCCACCCATCCATCCATTACCCTCCCACCCATCCATCCATTATCCTCCCACCCATCTATCCATCATCCTCCCACCCATCCATCCATCATTCACCCATCGTCCATCCACCATCCATCCATCCACCCACCCACATATCTACCCAACTATCCATCCATCCTCCCATCCATCCATCCATTATCCTCCCACCCAGTCATCCATTATCCTCCCACCCATCCATCCATCATCCACACAGCCACTCATCCTTCATCAACACACCCATCCATCCCTCATTGTGGTATGGATCCTCCCACCCATCCATCCATCTATCCATCATCCACCCATCCACTTATCCATCATCCACCCACCCCTGCATCCATCATGCTCCCACCCATCCATCCATCATCCACCCACCACACACTCATCCATCATCCACCTATCACACACTCATCCATCATCCACCCACCCCTCCATCCATCATCCACACACCACACAGTCATCCCTCATCCACTCCATCCATCATCCACCCACCATCCACCCATCCACTCATCATCTACTCCACATCCATCTATAATCTGGCACTGCTTAATGACAAGCAGAGCCACCATTCTAGGCTCAGGCCAGGGGGTCCCCCTCTAGGACATATCTGACCCACCCATCCACCCATCGTCCATCAACCATGCATCCACCCACCCACTCATCCATTATTCACCCCCATCCATCATCTACTCACCCATCCATCTACCCACCCACCCATCATCCACCCGTCTATCCGTTCACCATCCATCCATCATCACCCATCCATCCATTATCCACCCACTCACTCACCCATCATCTACTCATCCGTCCGTCCATCCATCCATCCATCCATCCATCCATCCATCCATCCATGCAGTAGTTACTGAGTGGTCATGATGGGCTAGACCCTGTGCAAGACACTGAGGATAAAGTAAAAAACATGATAGTCCATGTACCTGAGCAGACTGCTGGATATCAGAGCAGGAAGATGTCAGGGAGTGGGGAAGAAATCCTGCCAGTTCATCAGTTTCTTGAAAGAGGCCCAGATTCAGAATGAAATCCTCCCTTAAGTCTTTGATTCGATGGGGATGGTAGAGGAATATAGGAAAGCACAGCCCAGCTGAGGAGCTGCAGGAGATGTCATCCCTTCCAGCCTATCCCTCTCCTAGTCCTTGGGTGCTGACCCA